ATACATCCAAATAGAGCACTCATGTACATAAGTAGATCTAAAAAAAAAAAAGAAAAGAAAAGAAAAAGAGAAAAATGGACCCAGTGAATCTGAAATTCTCTTTTTCTTTTCTTTTTCTTCTGAGACAGTGTTTCTCTGTATGGCTGTCCTAGACTCACTTTGTAGACCAGCCTGGCCTCAGACTCACAGAAATCTGCCTGCCTGTTTCCCAGAGTACTGGGATCACAGGCATGCGTCACCACGACCAGCAGGAATCTGAAATTTCTAATTTCTATAAAGCTCTAGCCCGGTATCTGAATCTAGCAAGCTTTTGAATTCACAAATCCTAGTCAACTAAATGTAAACTCTATCCATGGCTTGCACAGTTGTCATTAGGTGTAGGGATGAAATGTCTTGAAGGTGGGCTTCATTCCTATTGGGTGGGAGAAAAAATGATGTCCTGCCCTCTTACTTCAGTTCCCCAAACTCAGGCTTTTCTACCCCAGGCTGCTGCTGACCTCACTGATCCTGATTAACGACAAACCCAATGGAATGTTATGTCTGCACCAGGCCTTCCGGTGTGAGCAGGATTTATGCACCTGCAGTGTTCTAGGGGCACTTTCTGAGCCATAAATGTTACCCTAAAGGCCTGCCGCCCCATGCATCCTTTTCTACAATAATTTTATAAAGACAGAATTCACTTAACCACACAGTTAAACTTTTAAAGTATACAAAGTATATCCATATGTGTGTACAAACATTGACACAAACAACTTTAGAACACTCTCGTCCCTAAGAAGCAACTTCAGTCCTTCAGCGAGGCCACTCCATCCTCCATGCCCTTCCTGGGCGCTCCCAAATCTACCATCTTTTTGATGAGGTTACCTGCTTCAACACATCCTGTCATGTGCCCATCTGTGCAACTTGTTTCTTTTGCTCAGTAACGTTTTCAAGGTTTATCTGTAGTATGGGGTTTATGACGGAATGACATTTTGTTTATTTACCAGTTTGCAGGCATTTAGGTTGGAGTTGTTCCGTGTTTTCAGCTTTTATAAACAGTGCTGCTACAAGCATTTATATACGAGTTGGGGGGGAAGGTTGGTGGTGGAAGGGAGTACTGGAAATTGAATCCAGGGTCTCAAATGTACTAAGCAAGTTATGCCCCTGGCCCTTTGTGCAAGTAGTTTGGTATAGGTATGTCTCTTTCTTTGTTTTGTTTTGCTTAATCTATTCATCTACTCACAAGGCAAAAGAAGCAGAAACCAAAACCAAAACACAAAATGCATCTAAAAGGAGCCTTCTATCTTTTTAATTACACTTATTTATTTGGAGGGCCGTACGTGTGGAAGTCAAAGACTAAACTGTGAGAGTCAGTTCTATCCTCCCACCGTATGGGCGCCAGGAACTGAACTCAGATCATATTGCTTGGCTGCAAGCACGTTTACCTTTTCAGAGCTATCTTGTTGGCCCTAAGAATTTATTTTTCTAGCTGGCATTTGAAATAAATAGCTAACAAGTATCTCAAAGATCTTGGTGTAGTTTCTTTTGCTCTGGAGTCCTCATGAGACTATTTAAATGTTCCTTATTTCTTTCTTTGTTTGTTTATTTACATGTACAAATGTTTTGCCTGAATATAGGTTATGTGTACCACAAGGATGTTTGGTGCCCTTGGAAGTCAGACGAGGGCTTAGGATCCCCTGGATTGCCATGAGCCACCATGTGGGTGCTCGCAATCTGCAAGAGTGGAAAATGCTCTTAAGCACTGAGCCTCTCTCCTGCTCTGAGACTTTGTTTCTTGGAACTCAGCCGGGAGCACCAGTCATTATAGTCCCAAAGGCAGAAGTATTAATTAACCTTTTTCTGGTCATTCTGGTTTAAATGCAAATAGACAAATCATTTTTTAAAATATCATTTTAACTCATGACTGTTCTACTCCTCTTTTTTAAAGAAGTATTTACTTAAATACATACATTTTTGTATTACATATATATTGTGTCTGTCTAGGAGAGGGCATAACATACATATGGAGGTCAGAAAAAAAACAGATATTAAGTATTGTTAATTTCATTTATTAACATTTTATTATATTTTATTATATTCTTGCAGTTCATTGTATCCCTCAGTACTGATTCTTGTTTGAATAGATGTCTGATTCTTTATTTTACTTCCTCTGTCAGTCCTTTTAGAAAGTCTACTTAGAAAGTGATTATCAAAGAGCCCTTGATTTTAGCTGGCGGTAGGGGGTGAGGGAGGGGCGGGGGCGGGTTGAGCATTGGTGGCACACACCGTTAGTCCCTGCACTCACACTAGGGAGGCAGAGACAGGCGGATCTCTGTGAGTTCAGAGCCAGCCTGTTCTACAAAGTGAGTTCCAGGACAGCCAAGGCTATACAGAGAAACCCTGTCTTGCAAACAACAGAAAAGAAGGAAAGAAAGAAAAGAAAAAAAGGAAAGGAAAAGAAGAAAGGAAGGAAGGAAGGAAGGAAGGAAGGAAGGAAGGAAGGAAGGAAGAGAAATCGTTTAATTTGGCTTACAGATCCAAAGGGTTAGAGTCCATGATGGTGGAGCAAAGACAGAGTCAGGAACACCTGAGGCTTCACATCTCAAACAGCAAGCCAGAGGCAGAGAGCACACTGAGAATGGTGCAGGTCTTTTGAAACCTGAAAGCCTGTCCCCAGTGACACACTTCTTCCAACAGGGCCACACTTAATCCTTCCCAAAACTTCCACCAACTGGGAACCACACGCTCAAATGAGCCCGTGGGGCCCAGTCTCATTCAAAGACCTTTTAAATATCCCTTGTAGATGCACCAAGACCTTATAGAAATCTCACAAGGTGAGCATAGCCCCTATGTGGCATAGCAGTAACAGATACCAGGTGCTCAGTTCTGGGGGAAAGGGATATGGCTCTTTTGTTTGTTTGTTTGTTTGTTTTTGTTTTGGCTTTGGTTTTTTGAGACAAGATTTCTCTGTGTAACAGAGCCTTGGCTGTCCTGGACTCACTTTGTAGACCAGGCTGGCCTCAAACTCCCAGAAATTATGCCTGCCTCTGCCTCCCTACTGCTGGCATTAAAGGTGTGCTCCACCATGCCAAGCGGGCATGGCTCTTTTATTCAGGATCCTCTTCCCATATGCTCCTCACATCTTCCTCTGCCACTTGACAGCCCTTCTGGCCCAGTGGGGCTGCCTCATGCTGGTGTCTCCTGTTTGGCCACAGAGACCACCCATGATCTAGTGGTTTTGGATGACTTTCACATTAAAGTGACAGCTTGAGCTGTCACAACAAAAGCCATGTGGCTTGGCTGCTTTCAGGAAGTTCTTGCCAATCCATGACTTTGTAAACACATAGGTAGAGACGGTTTCTGGGGTCTTCAAATCATGAGAGGCTGGATTATGGCAGTTTATATATATTTTTTCCGTATCTCCATTCTTTCCCTATAATAATCATGTAGTGCTTTATAATAATAATAAAATGGAATTTTTCAAGGGCTACTGTGTAGCACAGCAATAGACTATCGTACATGCTTGATGTATGTATGATATCATACAAGCATGATGCCCTGGGTTCAATTACCAGCACCACAAAAAAAAATTAAGCTCATATTCAGGGCTAGAGAGATAACACAGAGGTTCAGATCACAGACTGCTCTGGTAGAGGGCCTGAGTTTGGTTCCTTACCCACACCACGAGGCTCACAACCACCTGTAACTTCAGTTCCAGAGCTTCTGAAGCCTCTGATATCATGGGTACCTGCGCGTGCGCACACACACACACACACACACACACACACACACACACACACAAATAAAATATTTTTGTTTATTTGTTTTGAGACAGGGTTTCTCTGTGTAGCCCTGGATGTCCTGGAACCTGCTCTGTAGACTAGGCTGGCCTGGAATTCAGATCGACCTGCCTCTGCCTCCCAGTGTTGGGATTAAAGTTGTGTCCCACTAAGCCAGGCTAGTGGGACAATCTTTTTAAAAGAGTAGATTCCAAAGTGTTTTTTTAAATGAGTTTTTTAAAGATGAATTTATTTTTATTTTATGTGCATAACTGTTTTGCCTTCATATATGTATCTGTGCACCAAATACATGCGGTGCCCACAGAATCCAGAAGGGGAGGGACATTACATCCCTGGGAACTGGAATTATAGACAGTTGTGAGACATCATTTGAGTACTGGGAATTTTACCCATGTCCTCTGGAAGAAGAGCCAGTGCTCTTAACCACTGAGCCATCAACCCAGCCCAGCAAAATCAAAAGTTTTTTGTTTTGGTTTTCATTACACGGTTGTAAAAACTATCCTGCACTCTGCCCCTTGTAGCAACTTGTCTTCAGTGGATTTCCCTCCCAAAAGTCATTAAGGGAAGTCTGCTCCAGGAGCCAAGAAGAATAGGATCTCAGCTCCATGCCCGTTCAGGAGTCCAAGAATAGCCAGCAGTGATTCTGGGCCTCTCTGAGTCTTTGCTATGTCCAGATAGCCTTCAACAACCTGCATCCCTACTCAGGTAGACTGTGTGTGGCCTTAGGCCACATGAGGCCCTGTTTTATTGACACGATGGCCATTGCAGGTCCTACCCAGGGGTCGGAGTTATACCTCTTCGAGGTTGAGACCAGGCTCTCTCCTCCTAGCAAAAGGCAGAGGGCCAAGTTAGCTGTCTGGGAATCCAACCACTAGGAGGCGCTCTTCTCCTGGTTGTGGGGTTGACAGCTCAGTGTAGAGACATAGGCAAAGCAGAGGCTGGAACATCCCATGGCTTGAAGGGCAAGCGGTCAGGTAAGAGTCTGGGAGTTCTGACTAGAGTGTTAGGGCGTGGCACAGAGTGCTCCTCTGGCTGCCCCATATATGCCCTTAGGCGAGGGTATCATCATCCAGACCACCTAAGAAACAGTGCTCAGAGGGCAAGTGAAACTAGCCAGCTCAGCACACAGACAGCTATCTTGGCCAGGCATGCTCCTGAGGGCCTCCCTCTTGCGTCTAATGGGGCTTCCTTAGGGTCTTAGTTCTCTTTCTGTGTCCACAGGAATACTCCTGCCCCCATCCCCGGCAGCGGCAAAGGAGCCAGGCATAGAAGACGTGGGAATGGTGGCGCTGGCCCCCCTGGCTGACGTGCTGAACGGCCCACAGTTCGGTCCTGCAGCAGGCTCCCTTGCGAACCCTCTGGCTGCCCCTTACAACCCACTGCTGACCGGCCAAATGCCCATGTCTCAGAACAATCAGTTTGCCGGCGTGGTGACATGCCCCCTGACCAGCTCCATTGCACTCTCCGCAGGGGCCAACCTGGCCAACTCTCTGGGCTTACCCTCCACTGGACCTCTGAACACTCATTTGACTAGTCCCATAGCTATGCCCCCTGGGACCACTCTGGCAAGCTCACTGGGCCTGGCCTCAACCGGCTCCCTGATGACAAGCAGCAGGCTGGCAGCCCCTATGGCTGTATCCCAGGGCAGTCCCCTCATGGCTCCCATGGAGGGCGCAGCGGCAGTGTCCCTGAACAGCACCCTGCTCTCCTCCACAGCTGCCCCTCTAGGTGTTTCTCAGAACACAGTGCCCAACCCCATAAACAATCTAGGGATGTCAGGTGCCCAAAGGGTAAGGCTGTCAGAGCCAACCCGAGGAAGCCTCTCTGGAGCCTCAGCCTCTGCAGGGCCAGCAGCCGCCACCAAAGGTAATTGGTGGAGGGTCGGGCATCAGGGCATCCTGAGTAGGCCGATTCCTGCTCCCATCCTGCCTCTAACCTCTCCTCTCATTTCCACTCCTCTACATCACCAGTCACCGGTGAGCACCCTCAGCCGACCCAGGACACAGATCCCCTCAACATGTTTATGGGTGCATCCCTCCAGACCTCCAACCCCACGAACACTATGGCCACACCCAATGCCACAGCATATTTTGCCAACTTGGATACTCGGACTCAGACTATTTCCCAGGGACAAATGATCCTCAATTCTGTCCCAAGCTCCCCAATAGGCTCCCCTGCCCCCAACGCTACCCCAATACCTATGGCCCAAGCTCCTGGAAACTATTCCCCTTTAAGAGCCACACGCTCCAACTCCCCCTCCAGGGTCCACCAATCCCCTACCCGCCCTGTGCCCAATCCCCATTCTTCTCCACGTAACCCCCACTCCCCAGCCCGCACCCCATCTTCTCTGGCTTCAGTCAATGACATCCGGGGTTCACGCACCTCGGAACAGTCTCGGAAGAGTATCCTGGAGATAGAGCGGAAGATGGCCCACCGAAAGTCTAGCAAGTTCCCTGACTGCCCCCGAGGTCAGTAACACCACGGAGGCTCAACGTGGGTCAGGTGTGTAACGGTCATCTCCCCCGTTACACACCTGAACTGCTACCAGTAGCCCTACCACTTCCTCACCTCATTGCTCAGCTGAGGCCCTCTGTCATCCCCAGACTCAAAGCAACTAGCCTGGGAGAGGCTAGTGGGGGAGATCGCCTTCCAGCTAGACCGAAGAATCCTGTCCAGCATCTTCCCAGAGCGTGTGCGTCTCTATGGCTTCACTGTCTCCAACATTCCAGAGAAGATCATCCAGGTGTGTGGCTATCCATCTCCTACACAGTGCCAGAGGGGCCTTCAGGGCTGGGGCAGAAACCTCAGCACTGAAGGACTAGGCGTCTAAGGGGGCTCTGAGACAGCGGGGAACCCAGGGCTCAGTGCAGGCAGCTGGCAATGGAAACCCGTGATCCAAACTCTCCAAACTCTCCTCCAGTGGGCAGGTGACATTCCTCCTCTGCCTCCTAGAGGACCTTTGGGATGGGAAGCACTAACCCCAGGGGCTGAAGCAGCAAACCTAAAGATTTCTATTGCCCTTTGCCTTCCCGGTCCCCAGTGCTCACTGGGAACTACAGGGAACACAAATCCTAGCGCTGGGAAGGTGGCAACATTGTTGCCAAAAGGCCTAACTCTCAGTCTAACGTGTGCTCAGTCTAACCCGTTCTCGGCCTATCCTTGCGTATAGGCCATCTGGGGGCTTCTCTTGGAGAAGGGGGAAATGTTGCCAGCTGCTTATTCTCTTAGGCCATCTTTGTGTATAAATTATACACACCTGCCAGCTGTGTAAGAATGACTTTTGATTACACAGGATACTTCTGAGCTTGCCTTCTCATTAGCAAAGTGTCCTTTTATTAGATGCCTTTTTTTTTTTTTTCCTTTTAAAGCAGGGTCTCACTGTGTAACCCTGAATGGCCTGGAACACTTTGTAACTAACCAGGCTGGCCTTGAACTTGCAGAGCTCTGCCTGCCTCTGCCTCACAGGTGCTGGGATTAAAGGCATATACCATCATGCCTAGTTTAGATGCCTAATGTTAATGTGTTCAAAACTGTCAGTCTTTGCTCTGTTGTTTGTACTGTCTCAGTTAAGAAGTCTTTCCCTAACTGGTTGATTGGTGGTGGCACACGCCTTTAAACCCAGCACTCAGCCGGCAGAGGCAGATGGATCTCTGTGAGTTCAAGGCCAGCCTGGTCTACAGAATGAGCCTCAGAATAATGAGGGCTACACAAAGAAATCCTATCTCAGGGAGAAAAAAGAAAAAAATCTTTCCCTAGCAGAAATTCTTGAAAGTATTTTTATTCCATAATCAACGTTTTCTCTTAAGGATTTAAAATTTGAGTTTTTAAAAATATTCAAGATATGTTTTTATTTTATCGTGTGTATGCATGTACAGGGAGTTGTCCATGGAGGCCAGATCTCAGTTGTGAGCTACATGGAGCAGGTGCTGAGAACCAAATTCTGGTCCTCTAGAAGAGCAGCAAGTGCTCTTAACTACTGAGCCATCTTTCCAGCCCCTAAAGTTTTGTTTTTGTTTTTTTGTTTGTTTCTGTTTTGAACCTTTGACTTCCATAAGTGATCGTGGTAGAAGTTATAAGGTGGGGAACGTCCTCTCTCAAGCATGATAACACCTGACTGCCTCCAGAGACCACCAGGACACTGAGCGCCCACTGCATTGGGGCGAGAGGGGCAGCCCCTGGGACTAAGAGACAACAAGAAAAATGACAAGGAAACAGAGGGCTGTGTGGATATGATGGCAGCAGAAAATGAACCTTTTTTTTTTTTTTTTTTTTTTTTTTTTTTTTTTTGAGGGGCACAGCCTACCTATGGACATCTCACAGGAGTTCACTACTGGGGCAGCCAGTGCAGCCTCTCAGAGCTCAGAGCTGCCAGGGAAAAAGGATGCCCAGTGCCTGCCAGTATCCCTCACAGATTTGCATCTATAAGGGTTGTCTGCTCAGGCCCCAGCCTCCTCCTCCATCTTCAAGGAGACACCCCCCTACCCTCAGTTACCTCTCAGATCCACATTAGGCACAAACTGCACCCGAACACAAACACACCTGTTTTCACAGAGAGATCCTTTATTAAGCAGGGAAGAAAAGTTAAAGTAGCTGCTTTTTGACTCAGGCGGAAAAACAGCAGCAAATGACGTTGCCGGTGTAATTTTTGTTTTTGTTTTAGAGACAGGGTTTCTCTGTGTAGTGGCCTTGGCTGTCCCCGGACTCGCTTTGTAGACCAGCCTGACCTCAAACTCACAGAGATCTGCCTGCCTCTGCCTCCCTGACGGCTGGGATTAAAGGCAGGCACCACCACTCCCAGCTGCAGGTATAAGTTTCAAGAAGAGAGAAAGGGGAGGGTCTGTGTTCAAATGGGCTAAGATCCGGTGGTGTGTTTTAGCAATCAGGTGATTGCTGGACTTCAATGCTCTGATAGATGGATCTTTGTAGTCAGCCTCAGGAAGAGTAATTGGCCAAATAAAGGAATAGACCTTGGTGGTTAGCTTTAGGAGTGTAATCTAATGGTGTTTAGTGAGGTAGGGGGAATGGGGGAGAAGGGCGAAGCCTGCTGGAGACATTCTCACCGTGCTGGAGCCTGGCCAGAGTCCCTTCACATTTACACTATGAAAGGACAGCAGTGTTCCTGGATGTCAGTGGACAGTCATCAGCCAAGAAAGCCAACCAAAAAGGGCCCGGTGACAGAGCAACGGAGACCACAAGATGCCAAGGGGTAGCTGGCATTATAAAGAAGGGCTTGGGCTATCACTCAGGTTGAGGAGCACTTGACTGACATGCTGAAGCCCTGGATTTTATCCCAGCACCCGAGCCAGGCTCCTCCTTGTTCTCTTGTATTGTCTCAGATCTTTCTTTTTCTGCTTGTTTGAGGATATGGCCATCAAGTTCCAGAGAGAGAAAAAAAAAAAAAAAAGGCCCAAATTTTAAGATTATGGATGGATTAAACGGATAATTTCTAGATTACACACTTTTTGAAACAGGGTCGGTCACATGTAGCCCGGGCTGGCCTTAAATTCACTCTGTAGTCAAGGATGATCTTAAAACTTCTGATCCTCCTGCCTCTGCCTCCAAGTACTGGGGTTAGAGGTGGGTCCCACCATGCCTGGACTTCTCATCGCAATGTGCTTGCCATTTCCGCCCTAGAGCCTCCGGCATCTCTTTCAGTCTGGTTTCACTTCCATCAGCAGTGTTCCAGACACTCTCCTTCCTCTTGAGGAGAGCGCCGCTGAAACCCAGCCGCAGACAAAGTGGCCTTCTGGAGCCGGGCGGACACCCAGCCATATCCCTCTGTGGAGCCTTCCAGGTCAACTAGTGTGCTCACATTTGGAAACCATAAATTTACCTCCTGGCTTTGAGGGTATCCACCCACCTGGCTGGGCCTTGGGTTGAGTTGTACCTGCGTCTGATTCCGCTTTGACCAAACTTTTATTTCCCCTTTTCAATACCCAAGGATTTCCTATACCTCAGGATCAGAGTGGTTAGAATGCCTAATTCTACCCAGACCTACTGTACAGGTTTAGTGGGTTGAAACTTTAATGGAGATTTTTGATTGACAAGGACCCTGACTTCCCGCTGAAGCTGGCTGTCTTTTTTATGAGATCATGCAGTTACGCTATTTCGGTTCGGGTTGGCTTTTTTGTTAGTTTTTTTTTTTTTTTTTTTTTTTTTGGGGGGGGGGGAAGGGATGTTTTTTTCTTTTGTCTTTCTCATTGTGTACCTGGCTGCCTCAGGCTTGCAGTATATAGCCCAGGCTGGCCTAACCACTTACAGTGCTCTCCTTCAGCCTCTGCCTTCTGATTACACAGATTACAGGCACATATCCTTATGTTCGGTACCATTGTGTCTTTTTTTTTTTTTTTCCTAAGTTTTATCTGTATTTTTATGTATGGGGCAGCGGTGGTGGTGGTGGCCGATGTATGTAAGTTTAAGTGCCTGAAGAGGCCAGAGGTATTTGATCTTCAGGAGCTCGAGTTACAGGTAGTTGTGAGCTACCCCACAACATAGATACTGGGAGCTGAACTTTGGTCCTCAGCAACAACAGTACGTGCTTTTAAAAGCTGAGCCATCTCTCCAGCCCAGTTACACTGGGCTTCTAAACCCAACTGAAAGTTTATAATTTTAAAGCCAACTAAAAGTGCTCCTGGCGCCCCCAGTTCTTCCTACCCAGTTTTGAGGAACTTTGTGGAAGATGTTTGAGGTGCCTTTCTTCTTAGCACCCTAATTCTAGGGGCCTCGAGTTCAACCTTGTCCGTGTGAGAGTGACTAGAGCCACGTGATGGTGGGAAGTAGTGCCTTGACTACCACTTGATGGTCCTGAGGATGATTTCACTTTTACACGCTCATTCGGGATCCAAACTACCCTCAGTACCCAAGATGTCTTGGGCATCTAATGGCCTATATGTCATCTTTATTTTTTTGTAATAGTCATATTGTTTTTCTAGGCAGCTATTTATGATAATTTTTTTTGTCTTGACATGCAACTGAAGTAAGCCTCATACCTATGGTTCCCCCACCTCGACTTCCTGAGGATGCCCAGCTTCTGTGTCCTTTTATTTTTGTGTATTTTGGTGGTTGAGACAAGTTCTTGTTAAGCAGCCTATCTGGCCTGGAACCGAGACTAGTCTCAAAACTTGCTGCGATCCACCACCCCCTCCTCCTGAAGGTTGGGGTGACAAGGGTGTGCTGTGCCTAGAGAACAAGTGAACAAATGATTTCTGAGACAAAGCCTTGATTTCTATGCATCTCTTCTTGAACTCATACTATGCAGCCAAGACCATGTAACCTGTCTCAGTCTCTCTAGTGATATAATCATAGGCACGAGCCATGACGTCCACCTGTTCTTTTAATGTTTAAGATATTGGGCTGGAGAGATGGTTCCATGTCTAAGCGCAGGTACTGCCCTCCCAGAGGACCTAAGTTCAATTCTCAGAATCCATATCTGGTGACTCACAACCACCTATAACTCCTACTCCAAGGGCTTCCAAAATCCCCAGCCTATGTGGGACCCTGCGTTCATGAGCACATACCCACACACTGACACATACATATAATTAAAAGTAATATGAAATATTTTATTATCTTTTAAATTAAGAAATATTAACTATATCTCACAAATATTGATAGATGAAACTTGATACATAAAAACCTGTGTAGTTTAGCTGGTTACAGCAGTTGCCTGGCGGTACTACGTAGACCAGATGTGGTGCTACAAGCCTTCAATCCCGGAACACAGAATGCAGAACTTGGAGGAGCAGGACCTCAACGTGTCACACAAGTTCATAACAAGTTCAGGGTCAGCCTCGGCCACATAAGAGTCTGTCTCCAAAGGGGGGTGGGGTGGGGAACTAAACAAGAATGAAATATGAAATTAAACCTCTTAATGGAGTGTCATATATGATGACACATAGACACAGGTTACACATACCTTTCTACTGAGATCTTTTTGCTTTTCTTTTTAAAAATATTTGTGTGTGTATGTTGTGTGTGTGTGTGTGTGTGTGTGCTCACATGTATCTGTGTGTCTGAGTGCAGGCACCTTTGAGATTACAGGTCAGATTCCCCCGGAGCTGGAGCTGGAAGTTATGAGTCACCCTGACATGGGTGCTGGGATCCAAACTCAAATCCATTCTTCCTCCTCCTCCTCCTCCTCTTCCTCATCTTCTCCATCATCTTCTTCTGAACTTGGTGTCACACCCAGGGCCTTGTGTAAAGGCCAGGGTTCTACCAAATCTCAGTTCTTTCCTCCTCACAGATTACGGCGGCTTCGTCTTTTTGCAAAGTATTCAGAGCGGCAGGTCACGCAGGCAACCTTTCCTGTGTCTGTGTGTCAAGAACACTAGTCTCCTCACCGCGCTCCCTCCTACCCGACAGGTTTGCCCTCTGAGGCAAATCATCCAGTGTGCTAGGTTGCAGACAACAACTGATTTATTAGATACGATTAGATAGATTTATTAGATTAGATAAGATAGGATAAGAAAACATTATGGTATTAATTAAGGTCCTCAGCTCCAGGAAGGACACAAAATGGGGTTTGCTATACTGCCCAGGAAAACACCAAAACACCAAGGGACTCTCCCAGTGGACATACCATGGGTGCCAGTCCCAAGACAAGCAGATAGATGCCCACTCCTGGTGTCTCTAGTTGAGCACAGTTGTCCCCGACGAGCCATGTCCATAGCACTCCCCAGAGACCTGCCCACCTTCCGTGGGCGGGTGCCTCCTCCCACACGGAAGTCGCACCTGCCCGTCCGTAGCCACTTGCTTGGTAGAAATGTAGGTACCTTGACTACATTGGGGGTGTTGGGAAAGGTGGTGTTCGGGGAGACCTTCTGTCCTGTTGGAACAGTGCCTATTGCTCCGGGTTAAGAGCTTTCCATTTGCTCTTGGGAGAGGGTGCAGCCTCTGGGGTCAGGCCACGTGGATGGATGAGGAGCTCCCTGTTCCCACCCTGGAGGCCATACTCCCTGTCCTCTATCCCCGATGGCTTTGTGCTAATCCCTTATGTCTGGTGGACGGAACAAACAATGGGATAGCTGTCTCTAGAAGCTTTGGGGGGCCCCTGGGCCTGCCTGAATTATTATTATTATTTTTGTGTGCCTTGACCTCAGGCTCAGCCCTCTGGACCCCTCGGGCACCACACAGCTTCTCCTCCCTTAGCCTCCTCTTAGCAACCCTTAACAATTTCCTTCCCTTGGCCTCCCTTGCCCCTGTTCTTCCTGCCTGCCTGGGAGCCAGAGTAGTGTGAGAGGTCCCTGATGGCCACTCTCCCAACAGGCCTCCGTAAACCTCAGTAACCACAAGCTGGATGAGGACCTGTGCCACACCCTCACGCAGCGCTATGTGAACATCATGAACAGGCTTCAGAGTCTGGGCTACAATGGAAGGGTGCATCCTGCACTGACGGAACAGCTGGTGAATGCGTATGGCATTTTGCGGGAGCGGCCTGAGCTGGCAGCATCCGAAGGTGGCTCCTACACTGTGGACTTCTTGCAGCGTGTGCTGGTGGAGACTGTGCACCCCAGCATGCTCACTGATGCCCTCCTGCTGCTCTCCTGCCTCAACCAGCTGTCCCACGATGATGGCAAGCCCATGTTCATCTGGTAACACCGGTGCCGGCTGGCCCAGGCTCACGTCCCCCTGTAGGCCATTGTGCATGGCCATTAAAGTTTCCCACAGACGCCAGTCATCGGGCCCATGCCACACCTTCCTGTTCCCGTGGGGTGCCTCACCAGGTGCCTTCAGTCTTGGCAGCCCTAAAGGGCTGCATTCACATCACAGCCCCCTGCAGAGACAGCCCAACTAGATCAAGGCTCAGACACTGTCTTTCTGAAGGAATTGAATGGGAGGCCCCACGTTCCCTCACGTTCTGGGAGGTGGCATAACTTAAGAGCAAAAAGAGGTGAAGGAATGGCACAGAAACCCAGAGGAAGGCCCCTGTGCTAAGCAGAGCAAGGGGATGGAGGTGGGGCTTCTGGGACCTTGGGAACAGCACAGGAGAGGACAGTAAGCCATGGGACACCTCATCCAAACCTGGGCAGGGGAGCCAGGGAGCTGGCAGCCCCTTGCAAAGATGTCTAAAGTCTGGGAGGATCGTGGGTCTTATCTAAGCACGGGGGATTCAGAGCTGGCCAGAGAATAAAGAACATTGGTTGGAGTTGGAGAAGCAGGACCGGGTAGAGAGAGGAAGGGACCGGGGCTCACAGGAAGTGCTGGAATCATTGTGTAGACTGGAAGAACATAGACCAAAACGGGGTCGTTTCCTAAGGGCAGTGTGGAAAAGCCCACACTTTTGTACAGCAACTTGGTACAGGTGCCTGGGCAGTGAGAAGAAGGAAAAGAATAAAAGAGCCAGGAACCTAGAGAACTAGTGCCTGCCAGTCAAGAAACAGAAGAGCCTTGGTGTCTGAATTTAAACAAGAATCCATCAGTACCAATAAAAATTCCAGGAAGAGAGAGGTGTGGGGTGTGCTGGAGTCCTTCAGCGGGGATACCCTCAGAGCTTGTCCCCTTCTGCCTTGACCACCCAGGTCATTAGTACTTGCCTCATCAAAAGTGTCTCCACAACCCAGGCAGCCTGGGTTGAAGATAGGTAGGCCAAACAAACCTGATGGGCAGCTTAAAGAGATACATCAGGATGGATGCTAGCTCATGGCTGGAATCATGGAGGCAGCCCCATAACGGGAGCAGAGAAAAGTCTGTGAAGGTCAAGGGACAATATAAGAACCTCCAGTCGAGCTGGGCAGTGGTGGCGCACACCCTTGATCCCAGCACCTGGGAGGCGGAGGCTGATGAATCTCTGTGAGTTCGAGGCTAGCCTGGTCTACAGAGCGAGTTCCAGGACAGCCAGGGCTACACAGAGAAACCCTGTCTCAAAAAAGATAAATAAATAAAAGCCAACAAAACCCCTGAAGTCTGTTAGAGGGCTCACAGAACGGGGAACTTCTTTTACCTGTGTGGGAATGCTGCCTCAAACTGTAGGCGTAAAGGTCCCTTATCCTGGCTCGGAGTTCCTTAGTCATAGCCTTTGCAGGTCATTTGGTGTTGTCTTTGCACTCGGGCGCCGAGCACCCGGTTGAGAGTCTGCGGTGCACCGACCGCTGTGTAGCTAGATTGTAAAGTTTGTTGGAGGGGTGGGGAAGGCCAGGAAAAAGGCGGGACTCTAACGTTTCCAAGCCCTAAGTGGCGCAAAGGAGGAGCTTGGGCGGTGTTGTGAAGCTCCGGTCCTTTCTTTTCACCCCCCAACGGCTACAAAAGTTCTGGGTGGGTGGGGCCAATGTTCAGCACTCAGGCTCGCGGGGCACAGGGCGCTACCTGTACGCACAGTGCGTGCCACTTGGTCTTAACCTCCTGCAGCTCGTGTGGACTCTTAAGGATTCAACTCTCACGCTGGAAACCTATGAGTACCCCAGACGTTTCGCAGCGAAGGAGCCCTGTGCGCCATGAATCTTCACCCGACTGGCCCCCGACACCCGACGCCCTGAGGCCTTCAGCCTTCCCGCACCCCGTGCTGCAAGCCCTCTACAGCTTATCTCGTATGCTGCTCTTCCCGGCCTACTGGTCTCTGGACCAGCTGCTAGGCTGCTGGGCACCAACGGTGCAACCCAGCAGCTTAGGTTGGCTCAAAACCCTAGCAGGAAGTGGGGCGGCGTTGCTATCGCTGGTGGTAGTCGGCCTACCCATGGCTCTGTTCGGCTTGGTGCTCTGGCTGCCCCTGCAGGTCTGGCGCCGCCCCTTCTGCTATCAGCCTCCTCCGGCAAACTGGGTGTGGCCACAGCCCTGGCACCCGCCTGCTGAGCGCGTGCGCTGCTTTGTCTTTCTCACTGCTAACCTGTGCCTGCTCCCTGACGGGCTGGCACGCTTCAGCAACCTGTCGCACAGCCAGCAGCGTGCGGAGGCCATTGGCGCCGTATTGCTAGGTAGCCTTCAAAAGTCAGAGTATGGGGTTACCGGGTGCAGCCAGCCGCTGCCCGAGGGGCCTGACGGTGTGCTGAGGGCCACAATACCTATGGATTTGGACTTCGTGTGCCTCCAGGAAGTCTTCGACCTCCGCGCAGCTCGTCGTCTTGTGCACATCCTGGTGCCAAACCTGGGCCCGGTGCTATACGATGTGGGCACGTTTGGCTTGGTGTCTGGGCCGTACATCAAGCTACTGGGTAGTGGGCTCCTGCTGGCCTCGCGCTACCCGCTGCTGCGTGCTACCTTCCGTTGCTTTCCTAACGCTCGTCGCGAGGACGCCATGGCCTCCAAAGGTCTATTATCTGCCCAGGTACTAACCCAGGATGCAGTGAGCCCTAGCACGGAGAGGGTGAGCAGTGGGTTTAACCAGCAAGGAAAACTGCAACTGTGGGTGGTGTTGCAGGCGCAGCTAGGCATCCTGGATGGGCGCCGCATCGTGGGATACCTTCACTCTACACACTTGCAGGCGCCCCGTGGTGAGCCCTGCAAGGGGGTGGGGGTTGTTGGGATGTGGGCGGCCCCTCTTCTCTCCTCAGAAGGTCCCAAACCTCGCCAACACCTTCGTTCCTGTCTCAGTGTTCTCTGCCCCAGACATCCCAAGAAACGCCTGGGTGGGTTTACTGATCAGGCTGACCTGGGTGCTGTCTTGCATTCCCCACTCTGGGCTAAGCCAACCCTACTCCCCTTTTTAGAGGATGGGCATATTCGGTGCAAACAGATGGCGCTGCTCCTGGAATGGGCGAAGGAGTTTGAGGCTGAGAGCCTCCAGAGCGGTGAGACCGTAGCCTTCAGCGTCGTCCTGGGAGATCTGAATTTCGACAACTCCTCACAAAGTGAGAAGCCGGGGCAGGTGGAGCCAAGAGACCCAGCTCTGCCTGCTTAGACACGGTTTTCCTCCACAGTTCACGCCAAGGAGCAGGGGCATAAACTCTTCAGGCGTTTCCAGGATCCCTGTCGGCTGGGCACCTGCAAGGAGCAGCCCTGGGCCTTGGGTACTGCTGCTGTGGAGGAGGGGAGAGCTGGTGGCGGCATGCCCCTCACCAAGGCTGCCTGCCATTGATTCCGCTCTCCCTGGACTCCACAGGGACAATCTTGAGAACTTCCACGCTGCACCACTCCATTGCCAGCTCCCCAGAGATGCTTCGGGAGTAAGTGGCATCCCTGAGCCCAGGCACTGCTGGGCAGCTCAGCCTGGAGGAACTGCCCTATCCTCAGTCATGCTGTCCCTCTCCTAGGGCCCTGGAGGAGGAAAAAGGGCGACGCCTCTACCTGGCAGGAGCCCCTAATAGAAGGCGCTCAGGTACATCCTGGAAGGGCCGGCGTCTGGACTATATCATCTATCGGGGAATGCCTGGGAGTCCCCTGAGTCCGGTAAGTGCCTGAGCTCTGGGGATGGGGCTTGCTCAAACTGAAAGCTGCTCTCAACTTGATTTCTGCCCCTCCCCCACAGGAGGTGGAGCAGGTGACCTTCAGTACTGCCCTGGCGGGGCTCACAGACCACTTGGCTGTGGGCCTGAAGCTTCAAGTTGTGTGCTCCTGAGAGCACAGACAAGGGGACAAGCGAGAGAGACCACCACGAGGAGCCGGGATCAATAACCGTGTGACTCAACAGATCTTTATTGTGGGGCACTCACACAGCTTCCTGGGCACGGCGGTACTCATATACACTGCCCCGCTCAAGGAAAGCCGGAAAGAGCGGGGGCGAGCCTGGTGGGGGCGCTGGGTCCTCTGGGTCTCCATAGCCCCCACCGCCAGGCGTGTGAAGGCAGAAAACGTCCTGTGAAGAGCAGGTTCAACACACGTGTGGGCCTTGTCCCAGTAGGACATAATCAGGGTGGTACCCTATTTCCGTTAGGGAGCCAAATTAAATTTTTATCTCTATTTAACCACACAGGTTGCATCTCTTACCCCGGGGTACACGGTCACAGATGTCTTCCCGCCCAAATTCACCGTTCGCCCGTCCTTTCTGATTAGGAGGTTTAAGCCCCGCTCACCAGGCTCTCCCCCTATGGGAGGAGAAAGCAAGGAGCTGTGTGGGCCGAGGGTGGGAGAGGGAGGGAGATGGGGTTCAGAGGTGGCAGGAGGCTGGGAAGGGCTGGAGGCTGGGAAGGGCTGGGGATCACCCACCGTGGAGGCCGTAGGGCTGGAAAGCACGGCGCTCAGTCAGCACTGACAACACCGCCTCTTCCCGAAAGACCAGCTCTCGGATTACGCCATCACCTCCCCGGAAGCGGCCTCGGCCCCCAGATCCTGGCCTCAGCTCAAAACGGCGCAGGATAACTGGATACCTGCGCAGGTGAAGGGCACAGCGGGAGGATGAGCTCGGTCTTGCCTCCCAGTTCACTGGCCCAGCACCTGGGGTGCTCAGCTCACCGGCTCTCCAGGATCTCCGGGTCTGTGATGCGTGTGTTGGTCATGTGACTGTGTATGCCGCTGCGCCCGTGCCAGCCAGGTCCCGCACCGGCACCACCAGCCACTGTCTCATAGTAGCCCATACGGGCATTTCCCAGGGTCACATTGTTCATGCAGCCCTGACAGAGGCAGATAACAGCATTTGGTTAGTGTGGGCGACTATCCCGCCCCCTCCCCCCCTCCCCGAGCTGTTTTCCAGCAGCCTCCAGACCTGTGTCCACTTCGACCCACCACACCTGGGAGGCTGAACAGGCCCCAAAAGCCCCCAGAATGACGTCTACTACTCGCTGAGATGTGAGCACGTTTCCGCCGACCACCGCCGCCTCTGGGGATGGGTCCAATATGGAGCCTTTGGGAATGATTACATGCACAGGAGCCAGGCAACCCTAGTGGGGGAATTAAGGTGATTAAGGCTGGGTACTACCCAGGTTCAGATAAGGATCCTACCACCTCAGGCTCCGTTCATATCGGGCTGCCTTTGTCTTCAGTCAAACCACAGGGTGACCCCAGATTGGGGGCTATCTGTCTACCTCATGGCACACCCCTACAAACCTGGTTCAGTGGGATGTCACGGCCCACTAGACAGCGCAAGCAATAGATGAGAGCAGACAGCGTTATGGCTCGAGGCGCGTTGAGATTGCCAAACACCTCAGACCCCGAGCCGCTGAAGTCAAATACAGCACTGCCCTACCCATGGGGGGGAAAGGTATGGCTATCAGCAACAGGCCAGAGGCCAGGGCCAGTGCTCTCCCCCACCTCCCTCACAAACCAACCTGACTCAGGTTGATCTGAACGTGCAGGCGGATGGGCGAGCCGTCATCCATGTGGTCCTCTGCAGACACCTCCAGGGGTAGGCCTCGGGCCTTCCGTGAGGATCCAAAAGCCCGAAGCATGTCTCGTACTGCCAGTTCAGCGTTTGCCTAGCAGAAATAAGGTTCAGCCCAGCCATGCCACCTGCAGGGTGGCCCAGCTACCTTGGAGCACAACACTGCCCACATTGCATTGCCTCCTGTTCCCAGGCCTACCTGAATATGGCCCATATAAGCTTGTACCACATCCAAGCCATACTGCCCAATCAGCTCTCCCACCAGCTGGATGCCCTTCTGGTTGGCTGCCACCTGGGCACGAAGATCCGACAGGTTGTCATGCAGGTTCCTGGTTCCGCTACAGCCAGGGATCTTGCCTGGTGCCCGCAGGGCCTCTGTCACAGCTGGATGGACAGGGTCACAACTGAGCCACCTTCCATGCCCCCAGGAACAGGTCCCTGTGCCTGCCTGTTCCACAACTACAACAGGAACACCGGGTACTGGGAGTTCCCTATTGACCTTTCAATGACATCACACACACACACACACTCTCCCGCTTGCAAAGCCCTGGACTCTGAAGACTGTAGGCTCCATCCTTCCACTGAGCCCTTTTCTGCCACCCAGCTTCTGGAGCACCTTTGGCAAGCAGCTGGGCCAATGACCTCAATGGAGCTGGAGGTGGCTTGGGAGAGGGTGGGTTCATCCCTCAAACAAGCTCATCCATCTGCCTTCTCTAGGCTCCCTCTACATCCCTGCCACATGCCCCACATGGACCTTGACCTGTCTACTGTCAAGGCAAGCTGATCAGCTTGCCACTCCCACCAGCCTCCAAGTACTTCAAGAACGCAAGGCACCACAGGGCTGAGATACGAATGGCTCAGCAGTTAAAGAGCACTTGACGCTCTTGAGGAGGGTCCAGCACAGGTTTCCAGCCCCCACACAAGGGGGATCATAACTACCTGTAACTCCAGTCCCCGAGGATATTATGGTCTACTCTGGTCTCCAAGAACACCTGCATACACACGGTGTACACGCATAGAGACTATCAAGGACCTGTCAGTCCTGGCCTCTTCCTGCAGCTTCCTACATCTCGACTGAAGTTCCCCTCCCACTCCTCTAAGCCATATAGTCCAGAGACTATACCACACCTGGGAAAACACCCCCGCTTTCCAGTATGGGTTATGGTCTTCTCTGAGGTCTACTGGCTGCTTGTACCCTCAGCCATGTGTGTATACTTCTGTCTCCATGGTCCACCTCAGTTCCCAATGATCAGCGTATTCTATCAGGGTCTATGGGTTGCCCTGTACCATGGCCTCATCACCTCAACTCCAGGATGCATTTTTGGGCTCTCATACCCCTGTGACCACAGAGCAAGGCTGTCTTTTTCCAGAGCCTTCACCTTGCTTGCAGCTGCTCTAAACTGCTCAAAGCAAAACCTCCATCCTGTAGCTATCAAGCCTGACCCCGCAATCTCCAGACTGAATCAGCTTTAGTTCCCGAACACTTCCTTCCGTCCAGGTATCCACCTGGATACCCACTGTCTCTGAGGGCAACTGCAGCTGTCACACCTGACCAGTCTGTCCACCCTGAGGGTTGCTCTGCTGGTAGGTGTGCAAGCTGATCAGCTTGCTCCTGCTGCTCCACTGCGCAGCAACTGAGACCCAGACCCAGACAGCTCCCTGGGATCCTGCAGCAGTGGCCAACCTTGAAACTACCTCTTCTCTGCCTTCTGTTCCCTTGGGTGTTCTTGGCTGACTCCCCACCCCGAAATCATCTTCTAGGAGGCCATCTCCAGTCCAGATATAAGTCATCTCAAGCCCTTCTGCATCTGAGGCAATTTACAACTGCCCTGAGAGGTCACCACTTGTCTCTCCCAAGGCTCAAGGCAGGCCTGAGCTGATACCATCAGGATAGATCAACTGTGTATCTGGATCCTAGCCAGCCTGGGTCCTGGTAGCAGCCATGAATCCCTGCCTACCAAATCCTCACTGTGACCCTTCTCCAGCTCACCCTCTTCCTGGAAGACGCCTCCTTGGACCAGTTTGAAGGACAGAAAAACGGCACCCTCCTGTTGCAGTGTGGTAGAGTGAGGAGGCATAGAGCCCGGCGTGATACCTCCAATGTCTGCATGGTGCCCACGGCTAGCCACATAGAACACAGGCCGTGTCTGGCCTGGCCAAAACACCTAAGGTGTGAACAGCAACAGTCAGCAGCACCAGAAACCTCTGTCGCCCTAACAGTACCCAAGGTAGCATCCCTCACCGGTGTGATGACAGTCAGGTCTGGAAGGTGGCTGCCCCCTGCACTGGGATGGTTGCTAAGCAGCACGTCACCAGGATGGAGGTCAGCTCCTAAGTGCTGAATCTGAAACCAGGAGGACACATACAGAGTGGGAAAGGGAGACGAGGTCATAGGACAAGGGAGGGGGCAGGAGGTAGAGGTTCACCACACCTGGAACTGTACAGTCTCCTGCATGGCACCCAGGTGCACAGGAATGTGGGGGGCATTGGAGACCAGGCCCCCATCCGGACCAAAGAGGGCACAGGAGAAGTCGAGGCGTTCCTTGATGTTGGTGGAGATGGCTGTGCGCTGTAGGATGCGGCCCATCTGCTCTGGGGGCACAGAGTGGCCAGGTGGCCCCATTACCCACACGCATAGCCCCAAGAAGAAGACACAGGACCCACGATGTCAAGGCCTCCTGGGCTCAAACCAAGACCCAGCAGCTTTTCCTGAACCCCAGGGACCAGGCAGCATGGCCTCTTAAGCAGTAAAGCTGCAGCAGGTGTACGGCAGCTTATGGAAAGAATATTCCCTTTCCAGCCTACCTGGGGTCTCGCTCCAATTTCCCTCCCTGACTAGTGCAGTGAGAACCTGGTCCCCAAGCACAGACCCCTGGGATCCTGAAAGCCTATTGCCTGACCATGAACAGATGAGCTCACAGGGAATGCCTGTTCTATCCCTACATAGCTGAAGATCAAATGGCTCTTGATGAGAAGCGGAACGGCCTTCTTGCACCATGGGGTATAGTTTCAGAGTCAAGACCACACTCCCCACCCCACCATCAGTAAGGACCCTGCCCTTCCCCTGGGTACACACCTGGCAGTTTACTGCATATAACAAGAGCAACTGATGTTAGCTACCCCACTTGTCTGTACCTTTGCCTAGCGTGCAACCCCTCCCAACCCCGTGACCTACATCATACATGCCAGCCCTGTAAGGAAGACAGCAGCGTCCACTCACCAGCAATGCTCATGAAGCGGTGTGAGAAAATCGACAGCTGGATGGGGTCAAGCTTGGTGCCTGCCACGCTAGGAGGCTCAGCCCCCACGGATATGCGGATGTCCCCTGTCTTAGTCACCTCTGCTTGACAACCTGGTTCTACAAGGATGGTGCTGGGGGCAGGGGACACAGAGGAGCTACAAGAAGGCTGGCCCCAATCTCCCCCCCCCAACCACAGATGTTACTGCTCCGTGCACGGAGATACCCCACTGAATGAACCTCTGCAAGCCCTGGGCCGGGGGACCTGCTGCGGAGGGCACCGTGATAATCCCTCCAAGGGTATACCCACCCAGGCTTACCTGTTGTTGTCGATGATGAGGCAGGGCCCCTGGAGCTGGTGCCCATAGCCTAGCTCTCCTAAAAGGTACACGGGGGTCTCCTGATAACCCCCC